TTTAAACTTTATATTTAAGTTTATAACTGACATTTATGCAAAATGATGAAGTAAATGCAGAATAAACGCAAATAATTTATGCTTAAATTCAAAAAGAATTTGAATAGTTTTCTTCAATCTTTTAGCACAGGTTCTCTCCTGTGAAATAAAACTTTTTAAAAAACCTATATACTAATGGGTACGTATACACTATATAATATATATATATTAGTTCTGAAAAACAACTGAAATGTTTAATCAGATTCATCACTGTGGATTAATTTTGATTTATCACAATTAAAAATAATTAATTTTTATTCTATATTAATCACATTTCATTTTGCATGAGCAAACAGACTTAAGAAAAAAGGGGAAAATATACGCACTTAACATGTTTATTGAACATCTTGAACATTCATGTTAACAAAAAACTCTGTAAACATTTATCCACTCTCTCGCTTTCATTGTTGGGGAGGCACTTCATGTCCTTTAAATGAGGAACCAAAGCTATGCAAAGCGCGTGTTCTTATAGGTCTACAGTTTGTTGCAATATACTTGGCAATTGTGTCAGTCATTCTCTCCAAGGTAGACTTAGTGAGTCCCCGATGCTCCGTGAGTGGTTTGTCGCAAACTGGTTGACGCGTTAGCCAAAGTCCTAGCAGCATCCCCGGCTAACATATGCTTCACTTCAATGTGATATTTTAAGCTGGAAGTGCTTCGGTGCAAATAAAATTTCTTCCTGCACAATGTGTATCATACTTTATGTTGGTCAACTGTTCCATCTTGTTATTTTTTTAATACTCAAATCTCATCTTCCACATTGAGTTGATTGGTTCAGCTGCCCGTCACTACCAGATCAACTGTGAAGGTAACTCTACTTGGACAAACTGCACAAAATGCGTTGACGGATACATTTCAGGGATTTCGAGTCATTCTGCACTCCAGATGCGTTAATCGCGTTGACCGTGATGGCGGATTAATTTATTTGCGCCATCTATTATTATCTATTATCTATCTACTACTATCTATCTATCTATCTATCTATCTATCTATCTATAGAGAGAGATTAATTTAGTGAGTTGATTCTAATAGACTATATGCGCCTTAGCATATGCTAATTCCAGTGGGGAGACTCCTGTAGAGCGCTGCGTTTCCGCTGTGATGTTTGTGCATTGTTTATGGTCGGGTTTTCCAAAACAAGTCAACCACGGGTTGACAGGTGTTATGTTCTAAAATGAACCAGCGATAGGTGAAATCCGCAAAGTAGCCAACTTTATTTTTTACAATTATCATAAATGTTTTAAGGCTGTAAACCCCCTCACTGCATACTTCACACTTTTCTCATACAGGCATGAACATTTTCACATGTTTCTCTCTTTTTTTTAAACACTCTCAAAGTTCAAACCTTTGTAGAAAAATAAGTCCAGTATTACAGAATGAAACCAAAGATCAAACCCTGTTTTCATTTCCAGAACATGGCGATAGAGCAGCTGTGAGAGAATTCAACATCAATTAATCATTAATGAATCAGTGAATCAGAAGTCCAACTTTTTGTGTAATGATTAACATCTTTCTCTGCCTTTTGGGTGCTATCGCAGGTGCCTTTGTTGGGAAGAGAACTTGCAAACATACAGTACAGCACTTCAGAGACACACTGCTAGTGATCAATGTATTGATTCTGTACTGTACAGGAGAGACAGGACAGAGATCGACAATGGTCCACAGCCAATCAGGACACGCAGAATGCGTTGTAAAAAAACACCCCCAAAAAACCACGCAAAGTTGCACTAAAAAATCCGCGAAACAGTGCAGTGAACCATGTTGTAGCGAGGGACCACTGTAATTTTGAACATACCCTTCATAAATACTAATATATAGAGACTCTTACTGGAAATCATTCATTTTTTTTTATATCATGTGGCTTTTTCACAGTTTGTTGACATGCTGTGTAGGTGTGTACTTGACTAGCTGCTATCAACATAACGGTGGAAACCTTTGACTATTGTTCACCTGTAGTTTGAATGCTGGACATTTGCCTGTTTAAATCATGAGAACTGTCACTACACAGTGATGTGCTGAATGTGGATGATGTGTCTTCTGATTTTGTAATGCAGTTCTGATTGTGTTGAGTGATGTAAACAACCAATTGATCTACACTCTTCAAGCGTCAAAATTTATTGAGTGTTCCCACCTTCTGCTCTTTCCGTTTTCGTATTTTGGACATGATTTTTGAGTCCATCTTCGGAGTAGCAATTGACCGCAAAATAAAGCTACCGGAAACTCTACATCTGGACTTAAAACAGGAAGTTTGCATTTTCTCGTGCATAGGGGATATTGGCAATGTCAGTCAGTAGGTCAGTGGTTCCCAAACTTTTTTTGGTAAGCCCCCCTTTGTTATACAAAGGGGAGGATGTGTTTGTGCCATCCTCCCCTTTGTTTGTGCCCCCCCGTAAATAACTGTACGTAATTAAAAGTGAATAAAGTGTCGGCAGTATAAAAAGAGTGTAGAGTAGTTTCTGTTTATGTGTGTGGGAAATGGTCTTATCAGAGTTGGAGAGCTGGAGTTAAAATGCAGAGTGGGACAAATGAACAGCAGGGTGAGAGCACACAGCCCTGGGGGGAGCCAGTGGAGGTGGAATGGAGACCAGAAAGAGAGTTGTTGACCCGAACTTTCTGAGTCCTGTTAGTCAAAAGGTCCAATATCCACAGGATTAGCTGATCATCCAGGCGAAATCGGGAGGAAAGTTTAGTGGCCAGGATATGAGGCTGCAGACTGTTTAAGGCTGATAAAAAAATCAGCAAACAGAAGTCTGGCGGAGGAGTCAGGGACCTCCAGATGTTTGTGGATGGAGTCCAAGATGAAGATTTTTGCATCATCGACGCCTCTGCGTGCACGGTAAGCAAACTGGAGTGGGTCCATCAGGGGGTCAGTTGATCTTACTATGTGCTGCCTGCAAGAACTTGAAAAGGAAAAAGCCATTGACCCCTTCATACCTGTCTGTAAACTGTTCTGTTTGAACTGAACGATCAACTGAATCCATTATTGCATTTTGCATTTCATTATTGCCTATTAATTCAGAAGTTTAGTGTTTTTCACTGAAATTTTCGACATCATGTCATCTGTGCTAGTCATCTGCGTGCACACATAGTACATATTCTTATCTGTCATCAGCAAATACCCAAACATTGCCCACCAGTTTATTAAACCCAGGCTAATCTGTCTCAAGAATTAAGGAGTGCACAAGGAGGGAGATAACCATGGCCTTAACTCTATTTGTCACAGCTTGGTTGGCCGTTGTGTTTGAGATGTGGACCAAAATGCAGACAAGGGTATAACAAGGGCAGACAAAGCATAACAACAAGCGAGCCGTTTATTTGGGCTAATGTCAAAACAAAAACAAAGCAAGGCAAACTGGAGAAAAAAATAACCTGAAACCTAAACTGAGAAAAACTAAAACATGGAAACTGTGAAATTAACATGGCTGAACAGGAACATGAAAAATTACTACGTGAGATAATTAGAACATGAACCTGAGACCTGAAGAGCTGAGACTCATGGAAACATGTAGCGGGACAAACAGACGACCCAACAATGAACAGAGGATGACAGAGGACTTAAATACACAGAAGGATAATGAGGGAAGTGCACTGGCTGCAGTGTTCCCGAGCCGCTGGGAATCTCTTTTCCCGACGTAAGTGGTGGCGGTGGTAATAATCTTATGCAGCGTGATGACTGAGAGAAGTGGCAAAGGTGGCAGAAATGCGGACCCAGGCCGAGAAACCAGATTTTCCAGCACTTGAGGGTCATGCATGGCCGATGTTATTGGTCTGACATTTTCAGTGTTGGGGAATTGTGGGTGCCAATGTGATATAAGTCTTGATCTGATCCCTCGATACATACACACAGGATGCAGAGTTTCCAGCTCAAGATAACTCTTTATTATTCACTTTACGCAATAGTTGTGCGGTTACTTGCCCAATAGAAGCTGTCAGCTTCTATTCTGCTGCCACATACACCGGCTCCAGCGTACACTTGTTTAAAATGGGGAGGTATAATTGGTTGATGTCTGCCAGCTGTGTCAGTGAGGCTTCCCTGGCACTGCTCCCTGCTCCCTCAACCCCCCGTGCCACCCCTTCCCCTACACCTCATCGCCACAACACGCCACAATACAGTCCTCTGTTCTATCTATAGAGCACTTTCTCTCTCTCTCACATTGACACACACACACACACACACACACACACACACACACACACACAGGGGTAATTTGGGCATCACTGAGTCATAACCACAATGACATGGAAGTCATAGAAGGCAAATTAAAAACTGTGAATTTGAACTAGAACTGAGAGGGATCAACCATCTAAAGCAGAAATCTTTGCATACTTACGTGAACAGACAAAATAAAGTTGAAGAGTAAACAAGTTTCTCTGTTTTTGTATGCTTGCACCACGTGAAACCACTATCTACAGTCCAGCAAAGCTTCTGCATTACAGAATAAAGAAAAATGAGCAATCAGTGTTCTGTTGAATTGTTGAATTCTATTTTATCTTCTTCGCCTACCCTAAAAGAATCGGAATTTAAATCTATATCCTGCCAACGGCGAGATGCCAAACTCTTGTAACAGAAAGATAATTTCTATGCTATTCTATTCTATTCTATTCTAATTGTTCACATGGTTACCCTTTCACACACCTTTGTTACAAAAAAACCCCCCAAAACACAACTTTTACCTTATATTAGTTTCAAAAATCTATATAATCTGGTAAAAAGGCAGTAATTTACTCTGTGTGCACCAGAGTTTCAGTTGCGAGCCCGTAATTCTCCCAGCTCCTTTCTTTGTGCTTCACATCTGTCAGCCTCTGTCTCTGTGGACGTGAAGGCAAAGTAGGTTAGGCAGGAGGAGCTGGAGGAAGCAGACACAAACTAATAGAGACAGACAGTAGAGAGAGAGTGAGACAGACAGCAGAGGTGTGTGTGAGCTGAGCTGTGTGTGTTTCAGTTTCAGGAAGATGCTGTTCCCACCAAGAAGTTGGACTAGAGAGCAGCATCTGAGCTCCATGACCAGGTAAGTCCACTCGTAGTCTCACTAACTCGTCCACTCCTGCCAGTGAGTTAGCAGGCAATATGCACTTCTGCCCTCCTGGAGCCTGGCATCATGGATGTGAATGCTTTACAGTGACCACGGAATAATTCGAATAATAGAAGCCTAGTCTAAAATCAGTTACATATGATTTTGGTTGTATGTTCCGGAGGGTGCTTCTGTTGTTTTGATTGTTACACACTTTTAACATGAGTTATAAGTGTGTTTGTTAATCCCAACTGTTTTCACATGTAGCTGCAAACATGGTGTGCTATGTCTCAGGACTTCACATAATTCCTCTTTGACAGAAATCTAACTAGAGATACATTTTTCAGTTGGTCAGACTTTTACATTTGAAAAACCATTGGAAAAAAAATACATTGTTTTTGTGGTTATTGCCATTTTACAGCATGGGTTTTATCTGTAGAAGTGTGTGAACATGGCTTAATGTGACTTTAGCAAACATATACTTAGATTTTAGGAAGCTCCAGTTTGAAATTTATGATTTCTGCTTTGTATTCTGAATGGAACTGGGTTTGACTTAAACTCACATCAAGTGGGCTTCAGTAGACTGACTACAGCCACATTATGACTGCAGTCATTGCAGATGAGATATGAAGGAGATATGAATAGCGAAGTAAAAATGCTTCTTCTGGGTGTTTTTGAAAGGTGTTTAAAATTTGGTGCGCTGTTGATAGAGAGCTGTTTTCATGTTTGGGTCAAATCAATTTCAGATGTGGTTAGAGTTCACAGTCCTGTTTGGCGTTTTTTTTTAGATGCACTTTGTTTTCTTACCCAACCTGTAGATTTTGTAACTATCCTCTAATCCCATTTTATAAAACATAGTTAGAGTGTAATGTCATTTCCTGTGAAAAAAAGATCTTCAGTAAGTGGTCTGTTTCAAGTGTGGTGCAGCTCCAAGGTTTACTTTCTTCTTGATAAATTTCAAAATACAAAATTCAAATGCACAATAAAACCATAGGAATCCGCCACAAAATGGACACTGTCCATTTCTAAAGGTCACATTAGAATGTGCTGGCTAAAATTACACAGCTTGTAACTGAAACTCTATCCTATCTAAGGGACTAGCCTAAGCATCAGATTGCAGTCTGCTGATTGTACTTGAGAAGTGTAACAGTAATCCAGGTTGTCTGAATGTGGTACTACCTTTCAGCCCAGTGCAAGGTGAGAGAAGGCAACATTCTGACCCAGAGAGTTTTCTTTCCAGCGTTTCAGAGCCTGTAATATGAAGCAGGATTAGGTGCTTATTGAGATCTTTTCAGGTTGGACCTGGTCTTTTTGTTTTACAAAGGTTCTCTCACTTCTCACCTGCATTTGTCACCATGCAAATTAAGCTGCACACCTAACCTGCTCTGTGCCTTATTATGTACCTAATAAAGAATACAAAATCATCACCTACTGTCTGGTCATTGGTGATGCAGTATCTTACAGCAAGAGGGCTATTGGTTTGAACTCCTGCTGGGGCCTTGCTTCCTTTATTGTCATACAGTCATACATCAGAATTGTGTATTTATTATGATATTCGTTGTGAATTTAACAATCTGATGTCAGTTGGGTAACAGTTGCCAAGGAACCTTACTGACTTACTTACCTTTTGCATGAAGTACAATCCTATCTGCAGGGGTAGCTGATCATGTTGGTCCCAACAGGACATATTGATCTACACTTGTATTGGCAATGGATTTGACTGCGCTTCAGCTGACTGCTAACAGAGAAATGCGCAGAATTATTCAAAAAGAATTGCATAGCAGGGGCCCCTGCTATGCAATTCTGTTCCTTACACAGAGAGGCTAAAAGTTCGTGATTGTCTGTGAGAGCCGCTTATATAAACATTTAACTTCATAAAAAACATTTGTCAAAAACTAAATCTTTTTCATTGTAGTTACATACAGTTATGAAGTCAAATAAATAACATTGAACATAACATTCTGTGAGGTTTGCCCTTGTTTTGATGAAATATATATTGCTGTGAAAAACAGACATTGTGACTTTGTAGATTTCAATATTTGATGTTAATAATGAACTTTTCCCACTTTTTTTCTCAGGTTTTGAATTGTGTTTTATGGTGATTAATCACCCACTAGCATTCAAAGCAAGCACTGCTGTTTTAGAAGCTAGAAAAATATTTTCTTTCACTCTAGAGCCTTTAAACTGAGAATATGGGTTTTCTATTTACTCCAGAGCATTGCAATAGTTCTGCGATGTTAGTAGCAGAAAGAGATAGCCATAGCTGACAGATAGCCATGGAGATATAGCAGCACAGAAGATTGCGATTTATTTTTAAAGGGTTAGACCTTTAAAATAACAGACAAATTCAACAACCAAATAACAAATCATCCAAATAAAATAACAATCAAATTCAGCTGTATTAAAATATTTATTTACTAGATTTGCCACGCTGCTACTTTTCCCGGTAACTCGAAACTCTTCCTCCTAGACCACATAAGAAACGGATTACTTAGCTGAACACTCCTAACGCGCAAAATCAACATGATCTTACTGGTTGACTGCCAGTGGGGTGTGAAGTCCATATAAATGGAAAAACACAAACAGATTTTCATTACAAAAAGCACATTCAAAATAACAAATCTGACGATCGTCACAATCTGGTCCTTCATATTGTAATCTTATTTTCTTTCCTGCTGTTTCCCCATATTTAGAGTAATGGACTTCGGTTTATGCTGGTTGCTGGATTTTGCCAGTTTCACCGAGACTAGGGGTTAAATTTGGCATCTGTCAGCTCTGCTTCCTCATCCTCTCTGCTGCAGCTGCAGCTCCACACTCCGATTTCTCCAATGCTGCTATCGGGCTTGACAGCTGCCCCACCTCGGTCTGAGGCTCCAGTGATGAGGGTGACCAGACGTAGCCTCTCGCCTCAGTCAGCGATGAAGGACCCCTCCAGGAAGACACCCGAGGGGTCCTTCCATCCATGTCGTGGCCCTCCAAAGATGGACTGCTGTCACCAGTTTCCTCCTCACCAGGGAAACCCCATCACTGGTCACCAGGCTGTTACACTGAAAGGAGGTGCTGTTGGCTTGAATTAATATATTTATGTATTTATAGTTTGAATCCATGGTGATAATAATTCAGTGTACACTCTCATCTCTGAGTGAGTACAGAATCCCCATACAGAACAGCACAGAATATCAGAAACTGTATACAAGGACGACAGCAGGGAAAATTTGCACAAACTGAGATGCTATTCAATTTCTCCACATTCTGGGTGGAGAATCTTGGCAGTAAACCTTACACTCTTGCTCACTATACATCGAGACTGTCTCTCACCTCTCTTTACATATTCCATATGTATGGAGAAGGAACCCCCTTTATCAGGACATGTGGATACTTCTTTAAGACACTCTGGCTTGTCCTATAAAACATCTGTGCAGATATGAAAACTATGATTCTTTGATCTCCACTTGCTGTCAGATGTAGTGTGCATGTGTGCTTTGCATGGTACAGTGTGTGTCCATTGCCTTTGTGTTGTGAAGCCTGTTGGTTGGTTCCCATAATTGCTGTTGCCCTAAAAAGAGAAAAAAAAGAAAGGAAAGGTCCTTTGTAGTGACTCTAATATGTGGCTGTGATTGCTCCTGGTATATTATCTGTGGTCTCACAGGTTCATGAATCCAGTGGAACCTTGCTGTAGCTGATGCTGTGGGCACCTGGTCTGTTTCTTGGGGTCTTGCGAGTTGAACACTCGCCTAGTCACCTAGTGTCACTGCAGCTGGCTGTATCCTTCTGGAATACAGGTCTTGTCAACCGATGCAACCAGTTGGTTCTTACTGTCGCTGATGCTGTTAGCCCAGTGAGCAAGAGTTTTTCTCTGGCTCTCTGGCTTCTCTCTGGCTAACGCCTGCTCTGCTTGCTCAGAGTAGTTCATGTGCTAGGGCCATTGAAAATGGTGGCAGACACTGTCAAGTAAGCGACCAAGTCCAGGAGGGTGGAGACTCCATTTCAGGTGGCCAACCAGATCTGGTGCAAATTTGGAAGGGCAGAGGTCGACCTTTTGCCCTTGTGCACCCCTGCCCCCAGTGTCTCCTCTATGCCTTCCCTCAATTCTCTCTCCTCCAGTTGATCCTCTGTTAAGTCCACACCAAGGAGGTGAGGTTGAGCCTGGTGGCCCCTCTTTGGCCCTACATGCCCTGGATCCTGCTGCTCTTGGCTGGGACAGCCTGTGAGCTTTCTGTTTGTTTTTCTGTAGAGAGACAGAAGGCAGGAGAATAAACCAGCTGTACTCCACTGAATAATCCAAGGTGTACCCCTAGTGGGAGGTGAACAATATGAAAACAGCCCCACAAGACGGAGACAGAGCAATACTGGGAGTATATGGGAGAAGGACAACTCATAAAAACAATGCTCAGTTGCTAGTGGATCTAAGAGCAGACCTTGGATAAAGCAAACTCCCTGAACAGGATCCAGTAACCATCACATGGTAAATAGACTGGTTCTTATATAGCGCTTTTCTACTCTGAGCACTCAAAGCGCTTTATACAACTTGTTCATTCACCCAATCACACCCATTCACACAAACACTTCTCTAGGTTTTAAGTGCTACCTAACTAACATTCATACCCATTCACATTCACATCGATGAATGCATCGGTGAGCAACCTGGGGTTAGTATCTTGCTCAAGGATATTTGACATGCAGATTGGAGCAGATCGAACCAACAACCTCCCGGTTAGTAGAGAGTAGTAGTAGAGAGTAGAGTAGAGAATGCCTTTACACATGTGTACAATGAGATAGAGCATCTCCTACTCAGTGCAGTGTGGGAAAGAAAGGGGGGTGATGTGCACAATTCTGTGCCACTATATACATATGAACAGTACTCAAATGTAAAATGTAAGTATCGGGAAAAAAATAAATAGTGTTGGCATATGGCTTTATATATGAGTGGGACACAGATAGGAATAGGCAGAAACACCACAGGGGCAAAACACCAGCTCCTGTCAGACAGAGCAGTCACCCAAGACTGTAAAACCAAGTTCACCAACTTGTACACCGCTTGGATTGACTGCAAGCCTATGACTCAGTGCCTCAACCCATGGATCCTGGAATGCAGAGAACAACACAAGATAAACAGGACCCTAATGGCCTTATCAGAAATTCGATGGAGACGTGGCGAACAACACTAGAGGCCAACGTCAAGCCAATAGCACAAGTCTTGTCCCCACTGCTGTTCTGCATAGGCCTGAACCCCCTGCAGATACCAAGTACGAAATGCAGCAATCGTCAGCCACCTACTCTATAAGGATGACATGAAGCTGTATGCCAAGAGTGAATGAGACATTGATTCACTGATCTAAACCACTAGAAGCAATGACATTGGGATGCTATTTGGACTGAAGACATGTAGTTGAATGGTAAAAAAGAGAGGGAGGTAGTCAGAACGGAGGGGATTGTACTACAAGAAATGAACACTAGGGTGGTTGAGTACCTTCCTCCACATACATATGTTACCCTATTCAGTTCTGTTCAGTTTTATTTATATAGCACCAAATCACAACATGCTTTATATTGTAAGACAAAGACCTTACAATAATGCGGGGAAAACAGAAAATCCAAACAATCAGTGGAAAAAAGGGAAAATACTCCCTTTTAACAAGTAGAAAACTCCAGCAGAACCAGGCCCAGAACAAAAACTATTTCATCCCCCTCTTCTTAAAGTACACGTTCAGCACAACAAGTTCCGCCCCTTTTTGTAAAACACTAGCATCTGTTTACTTTACTTACATGCCCATGGAAGTCTACTCCAATCACCAGTCTCTCATCCTGGGGCACTGGCTACTAAGAGAGGACAATGAACACCCTGTGGAAGAGAGAAAAAAATTATAACAGCTAATGATTAGAATGGAATATAAACATATAATGAGTAAAAAGGCAAGTGACGAAAAAACACCTGATCTTAAAAGTAGAAAGCAAAATGGTTCCACAGGAAGACAGACCTGAAAGTTAAAGGCTCTGCCTCTCATTCTACCATTAAAAAAAAACCAACACCTTTGGGATGAATTAGTGCAGGTACTGCAAGTCAGGCCTTCTCATCAAAGATCAGTGTCTGACTTCACAAATGTGCTTCTGGGAGAATGGTAAAAAAATTATGTAATATAATGTATGTGTTTTGATATGAGCGTCTTTGTTTTTGTAATTAACATCCAGATTAAAAATATTAGGATCTTAGCTCAACTGTAAAATTTTACTAGAATTAGATTCTAGAGTCAGAGTGGTGCCGTGTGTGTGTGTGTGTGTGTGTGTGTGTGTGTGTGTGTGTGTACACACAATAAAGATAGTCAGGAAAAAGTTGCTGTACGGTTTAACTACATCAGTGCTTTGAATGTCATGGGGATATCCAGTATACAAAAAAACATTTTAAGCTCCATGTAAATGAGGCGTAGAGAAGATTTCTTTCTCTTTTTTTAGCTGCTATAACAAAAATGAACTTAAGATTAGTAACTTATATAGTTGGTAGGTATAGTTGATGTTACTGTAGGTCAGGGGTGTCAAACAGAATTGCATAGGGGGCCAAAACTCAAGGCACACTTTAGGTCGTGGGCCAAACAAGATAAACATTTATTGAACACACTAAAACAATGTTTTTTTAAACATAAATAAAAACAGACAGGAATATTATTCCAGTTTAAATAAACTTTAAAAAAAAACTTTAACTTTAAATAGTTTGCTCTTCATAAAAATATATCCTGTCAAAATTATGCAAGTTAGAAATATAAATAAGCTTCCAAAAACCCCAGAAAGGTTAATGAAAGGTTGGAGCCGCATGTAGACAAAGCTGGGCATTGCTTCAGGAATGGAACTAATAAACTGTGCGGGCCATTCAGCGTCGTACTTTCCCTTGAGTGTATCATTACACTGCAGCTCCATCTGAATCTGCACAGGTGCACTTCAGCAAAGTCCGCTGACTTGGTTCAACATTACTTGGCAACAGGGAAAGTGAGGCAGGTTGCACTGGTGCATTTGTGACAGCTTCACTTGAAATGCCTTCACCGCATCATACATGCCATGTCCACGAACAGACAGATTTCCTTGCTGAGCTCAAAAACTATTGAGAACTTTTCCCCAACTCAGCCAACGGAACTCTGTATGATATGGAATGTCGGCAAACTCTGAATATATTTCCCACATAAGCTCAGATAAAATTTACGGTTTGCATTGCGGTGATCATTACATGCTCCATTTTTAGGACTTCACCACACAGCGTTTCCTGGTGTATGATGCAGTGATATGCTGTTAACTCACCGGTACAGTTTTCCTCCTGCATATTTACTCGCATCCTGCTGACTAGTCCGCTTTTTTCACCACACAACACCAGCGCTCCATCTGTTGTAAGTCCAACAAGTTTGTCCCAGGGCAGTTTCATGTCGGTTACCCTTTGACGTACGTTTTAAAAAATGTCTTTTCCTGTCGTTGTCCCGTGCATCGATTTAATGTTCAATATTTCCTCTCCACGGATGAAGATGGCCAGTTGTACAATGTCCATCATGTCTGTAATTTCATCCACAGCAAGAGAGTATGCAATAAAGTTTTTGTCACGGCTGCGCAGCAGTCGTGTGGTGAATTGAGAAAAGGATCCAAAATGCAGGCACTGGCTGGGGTGCGAGTGAATGTTTAATTACAGAGGTGATAAGGTGACAAAAACAGGAGGAGCAGAGCGGGGAGAAAACAAACCTAAACTGGGGAAAACTAAAGAACTCAAATTAAACCAAACACGCACGGGAGGAGGAACAAAATGCACAAAGAAACCTGGTGGAGAGACGCAGCCTGAACACCGGGTTACACAGAATTATGCAAACGGACATGGCGTTAAACAGACAACGCAACAGAGAGCACAGGCTTAAATACACGGGGAGTAATCAGGGAATGGGCCACAGGAGGGAGACACAGCTGGGAGCAATTAGGCTAACGAGACAGGGGAGAGGTAAAAGTGAACACACTGACATGAGACATGAACTTTCAGAATAAAACAGGAAACTAACAGACACAGAGAACCAGACAGGACACTGAACTTGACAGGCAGACTCATGAGCAGACACAATAACACCATGGACAGACAGAGAGAACACAGGCAGGCATGAAACAAAAACACTAACACTGTCACGGTCTGGCTGGCAGACCGTGGGGAGATGGAGAAATAGGACCCAAACGCCAGACTCTTCAGTGCAACAGTGTTTATTTACAAGGTGGTGAAGTAAACAACAATAAATCCCCAGTTTCCCAGACTCCCGTGTAGTGTCTTCTTCCCAAAAGTCCCCGTGTAGTGCTCTCTGCCCCAGTGTCCCTGCACTCCCCGTGCTTACTGCTCCTTCTCGTCCCACACTCCTCCTGAGGGGAAAACAATAGAGGCAGCCGTTAACACTTATCCCAGAGCCGGGTCCGTGACAAACACATAGCAAACCTAAACAAAAGACAAAACAGAATAACCGAGAACAAAGAATAATATAAAGAAACACAATAAGGTATGAAGCACAAGTTTACTGTTGCCATAAAGAAAAATCCTCAGACTCTGGACCATGACAGTTTTTGCTTCTTTCACACAACTGTGTTCTTAAATCAGTGGCCATCTCACAAACCCAATCAGCAATCGTATTTCTGCTCAGGCTCACATTTGCCAAAATCTGCGTTTTGTCTGGACACAAGATGTCGCACACCTTCATCATGCAGCTCTTCAGAGTGGTACCGGGCTGATTTGGCTTTCTCCTCTGCTACAATAAAACTTGCTTTCACAACAGCTTCCCTTTGTGATTTTGCTCTGGTGAAAAAGGTCTGTTGAAATGTCACATTCTTCTTTAGCTCTTCTACTTTCTTTAGTTTCTGCTCTGCACTTAGGTTTTTCAGCTTATCCTGACTTTTTGTCTCGAAGTGCCGTCTTAAATGAAATTCCTTAATTACAGCCACATTAGCTCCACCAATAAGACACACGGGATTACCAGCAATGTCTGTAAACATATATTCAGTCACCCACTGCATGGCGCTGAAAGGCTCTGCTTTCAGATTCAACTTTTCTCTTCGCCATTGTGAGCGGCTAGCTTCGCAATAACAGAAGTTTGACTTGATTGATAGTGATGTGCGGATCGATACTGAAATATCGATTCCTCTGATACCAGTCATTTATGTTCTAGAATCGATTCTCACATTAAAATATCAATACTTTAGTAAGATTCGTCTCTTTTCAGCGGAAATTCTGCTGATTCACCTATTTCTGCAGAATTTTCTGCCTTTTCACCTCTTATCAGCACAATTCTCAGCAGCGTCTGCTCATTTCAGTAGAATTGTCAGTCTCTCCACCTCTTCTTTGTGAGAATAAGTTTAGCTCAGTGAGATGAGTATCTGCCTTGAGACCAGGAGGGCCACGTTCGAATCCTGCTCAGGACAACGTTTTTTTTCCACCACTTTTCAGCAAAAATTTCTCCGTCTTTACCCCTTTCAGTAGAATTTTTTTGCTTTTCACCACATTTCAGCAAAAAATTTCTGTCACTTAGTTTTTTCTCATAACCCAGTCTCAATACAACGTGGCAACAGTCACTTTATCCATTTAAAAGTGTGTTTGTGTGTGTCTGTGTGTGTATATGTTTTTGTAGGTTTGTGAAGAGGAAGAGATTGCTGCACAGCAGGCATCACTCTCTGTGGATACTGTTCATTTTGCTGGGAGTCTGTATTGCCATTCAGACCTTTGTCACCCATCAGGCCAGGTAAAGTCCTATTCTCAACACCAATTTTCTCAAACCAAGTGGACTTTGTTATCGTTAATTTTTTTTTTTGGACATTTCTTACTGAATCTAGCATTGGTGAAAAATAACTCATGTGACGATTATAAACTTTAAAATATATAATATGGTATCGTCTTGATGCATGCTCAATCATCCAGGTAAGTAAATCTCCAAAGGTTGATTCTGTTCATCTGGACGTAGCGTTTTCAGTGGGAGAAACGTTTCGTCACTCATCCAAGTGACTTCTTCAGTCTCAGCTGACTGCAGGTTTCAGCTTCATCATAATGAAGGAACTGACCTCCCAGCACATTGTTCCCTCAGTGGACTGGTTTCAGTCATGCAAATGTACTGTTTTCTAAGATTGGGGAAACCAATCGTTTGAAAACACAAACACAAACACAAATTTTCTCTCCGTTTTGGCCTCCGATCCAAACTGGGACGGCGTTTTCGCATTTTGAAAACGCTCTCGAAAATGCATACATTTGAAAACGGTGCTTTCGTGTTGCAGTGTGGACAGCAAAAACGGAGACTTTTTGAAAACGATGACACATTTTAGTCATGTGATTGTTTCTCAATTTTGACAGGCTTATTAAAGATTAATATCAGTTTGTACATGCTTCAGATAGCTTTTCTTCAAATTCTTTAATTCTCACTCACTTTTGCAACTTTGTACTTTTGTGTTACTCACAGCAACAACCCCACCTCATTGTTAGTCCATTTAAAAAACTTGGTGCTTTTCCTCGACATTTTCCCGCAATGTTTCAAAGAGCCGGAAAGTCAATAAACAGCGAGCAGAAATGAGGCCGGTCGAATCGTCTTGCATTTCACACATGCGCAGTGCTGGAACGTAAGCGTTTTCTGCCGTTTCAATGTGGATGCACAACTCTGTGAAAATGACTGAAAACGATAGTGTGGACGCGGAGCGTTTTCAGACAAAGATGCTGTTTTCAAATCTATCCGGGCTAGTGTGAACATAGCCTTAGGTTCACACTGAAAGGCCCAATCACCACGAGTTTTAAAACGAGTGTGCTGTACCACCAGCAGTCTCTGATCTAATGACCTTAAAGCCCGAGAAGATGAATTTGGTTTCAGCAGGTCAGATAAATATTGAGGAGCTTGACCATGTAGGGCCCAAAAGGTTAGAACTAAAATTTTAAAATGAAACCTAAAATTTGCAGGCAACCAGTAAAGGGAGGCCAAAACTGGAGTGATATGAGATCTTGTCTTGGTGCCTGTTAAGAGTCGTGCTGCAGCATTCTGCACAGTCTGAAGACGATTTAAGGCTGATTTGTTAAAACAAGTAAACAGACCGTTACAGTAATCTAAACGAGAAGAAATAAAAGCATGAATAATCATCTCAAGTTCAAGCTTTGATACCATTAGTCTGAGTTTAGAAGTATTCCGTAAATGATAAAAACAGTTTCGGACCAGCTGCTTAGAATGCTGCTCAAGTGACATCGAGCTGTCGAATATGACGCCAAGGTTTCTAAGGCTTGATTTTACATAAGGGTCTAAGAAGCTGATATGCTGCCTGATTTCTGGGACCATGTGGTCCTTTACCTTTCACAGGAAGTTTTCGGCATATAGAAAGTCACATCCTCACTTTTGTTTAAACAAAATTGAAATGTTCCTTAAAATGCCACAGTAAAGGACCTCCAGTGCATTAAAATGTGATGTCAAAAGTTCCTGACCTAGAATCAATAATATAAGATTTGAAAGTGAGGTATTTTATTGTGTTTATTACGTTTTCCAGGAATGGCAAGCTAGTACAACTCCAGCAGATGAAGTTCTCTATCAAGAAAGAAAAAGAGTTTCCTCACATAAGACCTGAAGACACAAGATTACAACAAATGGAACAAACTGCAAATGGTAATCATCAACATGAGCAACATGAAAAGCCTTCATATTCTTTAATCGGCAGGCTTGCAAGCTCTCAACAGGAGGGGAGAAAAGTTACACTGGGCAAGCTGCTTCTACCAAAAGACCGAAACAAACCAAACGTTGACCTTCCATCTTCTCTGGTTTCCCATAGTACCCGGAAAGACATAAATCTAGGGACAGAAAAAAGACTCACCCGCTCTCCCACTCCTTCCAGTTTTTTGAAGACTCAGAACAATACTCACACTCAAGCAACCTGCCATCCAAAGTCTCACATCGTTTTCCTCAAGACACACAAGACAGCAAGCAGCACTATCTTAAACATCCTGTATCGCTATGGCGAAAGCAGAAACTTGACCTTCGCTCTCCCTCTAAACAAACAGAGCCAGTTATTTTATCCATTTTTCTTTGTTCCACATTTTGTCGAAGGAGTTAGCAGCAGAAGTGTGAAAGAGTTCCACATCATGTGCAACCACATGAGATTTAAAAAATCTGAGGTGAGTTTCATCAGAAATGTATGTAGTTCCATGGCAACCACAGCAATTATATCAATTTGATATGGTTTGGTATTCCAGTCAGCCTGACTAAGTACCAAAATGTGTTAATTGGCCCAAAATAAAAGCTGCAGTACACCCTGTTACAAAGTTTCACATATCAAGACCTAATGAAATATTATCTAATGTACAAATTATCTAAACTACAAAGCAGGATTCATTCTTATACAGGTACCTTAAAGGTTAACCCTGGGTTTGAAAAGAAAATTATCACAAGGGTATATTGGCATGGTAACTCATACTGCAAACCATTTACCAGAGCTCAGCAGGTGTGCACAATGTGTAGGAGAACACAAAGCATTATTTAGCATCATATCATGACATCTTATGATATGATGGTACCAGGTTACCATGTTACTGTGCTACATGCATGTATGTGTCTTCTTAGTTTTTGCAACGTTTAGACATTAATCTAACACAGTGATACTTGCATTTGTTACAGACTGACCAGAGAGAAGTGATTTTTTTTTAAAAGTTACTTTTTAGACTGAATCTATGAATCTATGATCTAGGCTAGTGTTTCTGAGATGATTAAATTTTGTTGTGGTCCTTATAGGACAGGTACTACAAACCCGTGATTTTATAGACTATTATGCATTAAACATCTGCAGCAGTAACACTAATCCATATAGCAGTGATGGGGAACATTTTTCTGCAGAATAAATACTTTTATCATTATTATACAGTTACATGTGTAGAGAGGTGTCTTGTAGTATCTTATGAAAAACCTCTCTTTTCATAAGAGAGGTGTTTCTCCCATTGCTTTTGCAAATTGGTTCTAATAAAAATCCTTCACCAGTCACAATTTTACACATTTAAAAAAATAATTTTACAGGCAGGAAGGATTCCAGAATGGTATCTGGTCTAGTTTATCTTATTGAAGACTAATAAATATTTATTTATTTAATTCATTTACTTTTAGTTTTAAGGGGTGGGAGTCTTTCACGTCTTGCCTCTCTCTAAAAGTCATCTCATAACACTGCCTTTTAACCCTTCCTAGATTAATGGCCAGGAACAGTTCAAATATCACTCAGAATTTCTTTCCTTTTTGGCATTGCGTGAAAATGCACCTGAAGGCTCGAGACCAAAATGTCTCCTTTTATAGAAGTTCTGACACTTGTTAATGATCATTTAATCAGTGCTTTTGATTAGCAGCACCTGGCTGAAACTTACCCTCTAAATTCAAAAGAAAGCAGTAAAGACGTATTATTTTTTCACACACTGCATTTTGTTATTGAAATAATGTGACATATTTTGAAATTCATCTGAATTTGTTTTTTTTTTATCTATTTTTATGACTTGCTAAGGTTGACAAGAATAAACATATATAGCACATGGATAATATAGTGATAACACTACTGGTCTTCAGAACAACAGGTGTCTGACTGTATAATTTACTATGTATTTCCCAGGTGGCAAAAGTGATGCCTCAGGATACCTTTTACTTTTCCATCTTGAGACATCCTGTGGCTATGATGGAATCCATCTTTAGTTATTATAAGAGCATCCCAGCCTTCCGTAAGACATTTAGCCTGGAGGACTTCTTAGACAACAGCTGGAGAAACTATAATGCATCGGTAGCCAACAACCACTACGCTCACAATATTCTGGCTTTTGACTTTGGCTTTAAGAATAATATTGCAGCTGGTGCTGGAGACTTTGAGGAGAGAACCACTGTGGCTATTAAAACCATAGAACAGGACTTTAATCTTATACTAATTTCTGAATACTTTGATGAGTCCATGGTCTTGCTCAAGTACTCCCTCTGCTGGTCCTTGGAAGATATGGTTTCCTTTCGGCTCAATAGTCGCAGTGAACAAACTCGGCATTCACTTTCACCGAACACTGCAGAAAAAATCAAGAAGTGGAATGCTTTAGACTGGAGGATTTACCTGCACTTCAACACAACCTTCTGGCACAAAGTTGATAGTCTTGTTGGACGACAGAAGATGGAGAGGGAAGTAGCTCAGCTGAGAAAGCTACAAGTCAAGCTTGCAAACACTTGCCTGAAAGATAGATGTGCGGTTGACCCATCACTGGTAAAGGATGCTAGGCTGAAGCCTTTTCAGTATGGAACAGCTGTCATTCAGGGCTATAACCTAAACCCAAACTTAGATATACAAACCAAAACAAAATGTCAGAGATTTATCTTACCAGAACTGCAGTACACACATCGTCTGTACACCAAGCAGTTCCCAAAGGAAGCTGCTAAGCATAAACAGGCAACTAAGACTGTTAAATAATCACCTAAAGAAAATTGCTATGATGGCAAAGCATCAGAAATGGGAAGACCTGAGCAGCCTGACCTTAAGAAGTAAAGTCAGGTCTCAAAAACCAATGGGCCTCCACAAGTTCTCTGTTAACAAAAACACAAGCTAACAATAAAACAAGAATACCACGAGTAATACCTGTGACTAATAATCACAGGATATGTGATATGCTTGAGAAGTATGTGTTGGGTATTAAAAAAATTTTTTGATTTTTTTTTTTTTCTTTTCTCTTTTTTTAGTAGCCACACCAGTGGTTAAGTTGAAAATATGAAAGCCGGAATATCATATCACTTTGGTGATTATTCATTCTTATGAATATAAGAGGCTAACCAAGCCCAATATTGTTAGCTCCTGGATGTTAGAAGACACAGTCAAGAGTAAAATGTTTTTGACGAATTGTTTGTTTTCTTGCTTGTTTGCTCATTTAAAACATATCTTTGAAGTACATGGCAGTGGGTTGAATTTTGGACTGTTTTTGATATCCTGTGTTGTTTTAATTGGTGAAGATAGCAACGGAACTTGAACTTGACTTGAACATGCTAGTTCAAGTCAAGTTGCTTTTTAGTGTCATTTGAGCCACAGTAATACACCTTGAAATAAAGTAATGTTCTTCCAGGATCAATGTGTCACAACATAAAAAAAAGAAAAGCACATGGCATTAAAATATCAAATTATATAAAGAATAAAATATACATATATGAAATGTATTAATCTGTGTGTGTGTGTGTGTGTGTGTGTGTGTTTTGAACATGGTGTTAACAGAGATCCAATTTAGCTGTTGCTTCCAATCACACCCCTGCAGGTCTCACTGTCATTGCCCACATTAGTGTTGAAGCACCCCACCTGGGAACTCCATGAAGGTAAGGTACTCTAAACAGTCATTTGGCACATAGGCACAGGCACCTTCCCCAAGCCTGGCTCCAGAGTGAGCCCCGGTAACCCTATCCCGGGGAGGGTGAACTGTTTCCTAGATTTTTCACCCACAGGGGTCTCCTGAATTGCTCGTTGTCTTTTCCCTCACCCAGGACCAATTTGCCATGGGAGACCCAGAGTGAATCCTCTTCTCTTAACAAAAAATAAAGGATCTTTGACAGGTAGCACAGTGTCCTCTTTCTAAAGTAAATCAATCAAGGACCTTTTTATGGAAACTACCAATACTGTCTGAGTTACAGTACCTCCAGTATAATCATTTGAGGGTTCTGGTGTGGTGCCAAGAGTGATTGTCTGCCTGTGTTTAAGCTGTTAAAAATGACTTTTTGGTCTTTAATCTGTCAAACATATCCCAAAGATGAAAGCGTATATGCAAGTGCAATAAGGAAGATTGGTAATCCCTCACCTGGATGTTTTCCTGCATGCTTAACTGCTAGTCTACCACAGGCCTTTACCCTGGCTCAGAGGTATAAGAATAATCCGTTCATTTAATAATGCTGTTCTTATAAGTACAGTTTCATTAACCATCGCCTTGTACAGAACCTGGGATATCAAGGCAGCCTAGATACCAGCACACATTCGGTAGTAATCAGTAGCATTCACATTCTGGGGGTGGCTGTATCTCCAGTGGTAGAAGAGGGCACCTACTCAGCGGAAGGTTGGTGGTTTAATCCCTGTCTGGTCTGCTCAAGACTACTTGTAAATTCTTGTAAATGTTAGACAGAAACACATAGAGTATAGGGGGAAGAAAGCACTAAGAGAAATTCTCTGCAAATGATCTATGGTAATTATTAAAGAGGAAGCTTGATTCCAGGTTCAGCCCATTTTCATACAGGCAGCCGTTAATGAGACACCGTATTTTTTCATGGTGGAGAATTGTGCGCTGCAAGAGACCCTGCTTATGGAGTTTAACAATCCGACCATGTTTAAAAAAGGGAAAGCTTTTTTTGCATTTGCGATCAGAACATCGTGACAGTGTGACCACCTTACTTAAAATTATCATGACTCCACATTTTTGCAGATTTGACTTTTGAAGGCATGTTGTCCTAAACTTTTCATCAGCTGTACAACAGCCTGTTTCAGTTGAAGTATTGTTTTTAATAAATTGCATGCTCAAAAAATGTTTTGTCTCACTCCCATTTCTTCTTTTTGCATGTTGAAGCTCTACTTGAAACCTTGTTAAGATCCAACCATGCCAAATATGTTTGGGGTTTTTTGGTTCTTTTTTTTTTTTGCCATTTATCAAGTGGTCTTAAACTTTTGATTGGGACTGTATATTAAATATACACTATCGGTCAAAAGTTTTAGAACACCCAGTTCTTCCAGTTTTTTATTGAAAATTATGTAGTTTAATGTCTCATTGCATTGTGATGAGTCAAAAGTTTAGAATACATTTTGGTCTATAAAGTCATGATTCCTCAACTTCAGGTACTTATTTGTACTATCCTTTCATTTTAAAGTAGCCACCTTTGGAAGATATAACAGCTGAACCTGTGGCATTCTTTCTATAACAAAAATCAAATATTCTTCAGAAAGTTCTTCCCCTATCTGTAAGTTTTGCACTTGCTTTGCTTTCCCTTTTCTGTCCTGTTCCAAAACCAGCTTGATGGGGTTTAAGTCTGGAGACTGTGCTGGTCACTCCATGTTTTCAAGCTTACCATCTTGTTCTTTTTTCCTGAGGTAGTTCTGGCATAGGTTGGACTTATATTTTGGGTCATTATCTTGCTGTAGGATGGACCCCTACATACCAGAGAATATTGAATGGCGCTGTGGTAGCTGTCTTGGTTCAGGGTGCGTCCGACCCTGAATCCAGCAAAACAGCCCCAGACCATCACACTTCCTCCTCCATGTTTGACATGCCACACACTGTGGAAACATCCTTTCGCCTATTCAACAGCGTACAAAGACCCTGTGTAATGAACCAAAGATTTCAAATTTTGATTCAGCAGTCCATAACACCTTCTTCCAGTCTTCATGGCCCAGGCAAGCCTCTTTGTCTTATTCTGATGACTTTGCAGTGGCTTTCATGCTGTAACTCATCCTGTCAAACCTGCAGCTTAAAGTCTTCTCTTCAAACTTGAAACTGAGACTTGAAACTGCAACCGTTGTTAAGCTGTGCTTGATGCTGTTGTTATGTGGGGAGCCCATCATACAAGCTGTTAACTCTGACAGACAGACTCTGGCAGACCCAAAGCCACAATTGAATGACAGGACAAGTTTCTCAGAGTTTGCCCCAGTTTCTGAGGCCCTTTTGATAGTGAAGGAAACTCTACTCACTGACACCTTTCTTTGCAATTTCTCTGTAGGAAAGACCTACATTTTATGTTATGATGGTCTGTCTCTCTTCCATTGTTAATTGCTTTTTTCTCCCCATTTTCTACTTTCTGCAGTACAACACTGTTCAACTGATGCTCATGAAGGATATGGTACCACAGTGCGTTCCAACACTGCTTTGATGCAGACAAAGGGGGTTTTAGGTAATACACAAAAGTTGAAACACCTGTAGGAATTAGTAGCACCAGCTTTCAAGGTGTGATCAACCCCCATTGCTCCAGAACAGCTTTAAATTGTTAACCCATTTTGTGTTCCTTTAAGAAGGCCTTCTTGGAAAAATCTTGAAATGTACATTATATGAAAGTTTTGAGTAACCTTACCTTTCTTCTCTTTTTTTTTTTAAACCTCTGGCAGTTCACCACTGCAATAAATAACTTGAAAAAAAATCTAAATTCTAAAGCCTTTGACCGGTAGTGTATGTGTTTACTTCAGATGGTGCTGGTGAATTATATACAGTAGTTATGTTAAAAAACAGACTACAGATGACAGACTACTAAATCAGAATAAGCATTTGGTTAAACACCATATGTATAAGATTCTAGGGCTGAGCATAGTAACCTCACTTTTAACTCAATTTAGAAGCAGAAAATTAAAGGTCATCCAGGTCTTTCGGTCTTTAAGACATTCCTGCAGTTCAACTAGTTCTATCTGCCTTCATGGATAGATAAAGTTGGGTATCATCTGAAAATGTATCCTATCCCTTCTAACATTACTGCCTAGGGGAAGCATGTATAACGTAAACAGGATTGGTCCTAGCACGTAACAAAAATTGGTCTTGGCATGGGCCCAATTAACCATTTGTGAGATTGAGGTACATAATTTCATGCCATTCTCAATAATTTTACCATGAATTTTGTCATTCTCCTGAAGTTCATACTTATGATTATCATAATTATAATATATAATTATGTTAATTATAAGGATTATTATTATTAAATATACTATTGAAGATCATTGTATCATTATTTAGGCTACCATTAAGCTTTCTGGATAACAGCAGGACATGAATGATACTTTATGAAGTAGTAGCATATGCTAGTTGTGTGTACTTAACATGATAAAGTGTAAACAGTGTTGTAAGGATTTATTTTAGCATTGAGGACAGCTGAAATGGTGCAAAATAATATTGTATTTTCTGAACTGAGTTTTAAAAAGACTCTTTAAAAATACACTTCTTTTACTTATTGTACATAATTTCTGTAGATTGGTGGCAGATTTTTAAGTGCCTGTTTTGGGGGGAACCCCCACCCCACTACCACCACCAGACAACCTGAAAACAATATCAGAATTTAATTAAAATGTACAAAAAGTGCATTACCATAAACATCTTTTATCAAAAGCAAGAACATATGTTGGAATGGAATAAACAGAATACTGTCCAAAACCTATTAAATTTGATTTTGCATTCATGTGGATCTTAAAGGTAGTGGTTAAAGAGTAAAAATAGCACTGACCACACAGATGTGGAATGGAGTTAACTGAAATTTTAAACTCTCCACATCCATCCAAATAGCACATGATAAACACAAATGCAGTTCATCTAGGCAGAATTTTGTCTAGCTCTGTACACTGTACAAATTTCAAAACACATTTGCATCTTTTACAAAGGAAAGGGGCTACCTGGTTTACAGGATCAGACACACAATAGTACAGTACACTGGTGAAATGAAGCAGCCAAATATTTTTGAGGATATAGTAAACCTGGATAAGGATCTAACTTGTCTCTTTAGATATGGTGAAGGTACTACAAAATAACAGTTGCAATGCCTTAAAACATGTCTACTCCCTGAAGCTGGTATATAGGTACTCTCAAAAAAAATTAAACAG